TATCAAGCAGCAAACTATTCTGATAGCAAGATAAAAAGAGATGTCCATGATTAGAACTTGTTTTAAAAAGAAATTTGATATTAAATATATCATTAACAGATTAGTGTGTTAAATTACAGCAGCTATTTCAGTGCATGATACAGCAATGCCTTACATATAGTTATATCCATTAACCTGATGTCTGTATTTTCTCTTTTAAGACCTTATTTTAGAGACTACTTATTCTGAAACGTTTTTATTTATCCTGCCAGCTAGTGTCAGGTACTTTAGGCCACCTTTTCAGATGCTCTGAGCATCAGCAGCTCCCACTTGACTGAGGTGGGAATCTTGGATGCTTAAAAGTTACGGGCAAGAAATCTTGGGCAACAGAAACTCCAGTAATTCTCCCCTCTCCCTCACAGGCATAAAACCACTATTAAGGTAAAGTTAAAAAACCCTACAACCTCATAGTGAGGCAAGGTGTCACTTTTCCCATGACCCCTAAAGAGAAACTCCAATATGAGCACTCCTCCTTCCTCCCTTATGGGTAGCTAAGCAGACAGAACTGAAATAAGAGTTTACCTCCCTAATAGAAAAGACTTCCCCAGAACTCAGTGAGGGTAATTTTAAAATGGTGGAAGTAGGGAAACTAAAAGATGCCTGACTTTTATTTCTTTAAAAAGTAAAAATTATGTTTGTCCTTACAGAGGAGGGGAATGGCCATACTGGAAGCAAAACCAAATGGTTATATTTTAATTTGCCTACCATTTCAGCCACTAATGATACAGCCTTAAATGCCTGGTCAGTAGGGTAGCATTAATACAGAATTCTCTATCAAAATGAATTTCATTTTAACAGGCAAGGTAACATGATGAACTAAGGGGTCTCTTAAGAAATCCTGTATTTTTCCTTTAAGACAAAGGTAACTTGCTACTTTTCCATTCAAGATTCAAGGGAAATAATACAAGGAGACAAAGACAGAAGAAAGAGAGACAGAGCATCAATTTTCTCTCTAACACTACTTTTAGATCAGTACAATCACTAGGTTCACCCTATAGAGAAAGAAGATGAAAAAAAGGGAGGTTATATATGGCCAAAAAGAACTCTGGGCAACTTTGCTGATGTGTTTAAAGCTACTGTACTTTACAGTTCTTATTTCAGAAGTAAAATGATAAACAAAAAACAAAGCACTTTTAATCTTCAAAGCAATGCATGATCAATAACAACTTCATAGCACTTGATATTCAAGTATCACAATCTGTATTTTACTCCAGGAGAGAAAGAGGCAGAGAGAATAAGTGATGTGCCTGGGTCTAACGCTGAACCAAGGATGGAAGTCAAACATCACAAGCTGGTATGTTAAACCACAAACCCATGCTTTCATTTAGCAGCTGTTCTTTTGTTACCAGTTTTTATTTGAGCAAACGATTATTATAATAAAGAGATTATGGACTTCTTTCCAGCCCTTGCAGAAACATTTGAGATGCTAGCAGAGGTACATCCCAGGATTGTTTGGCAAAATATTTAGCACAGCACACCAATTAACTTACCATGCCTCTGAAATTAATCTAACCACTTCAAGTAGGTTACTTAAGTAACTATTTGCTAGGGTCAACATATTAATAGCTTCATATTGGCAACAGCTTCCTTGTTAAGTTACATTTATAGTCAGGGCATTCTGCAGGGTGTATCCAGCCTCTGGGTTAGAGCTATGCTTTCTGACCCTTCACAACTTTTGAGAAGGGAAGTCTGGCCTGGCATACTGAATCTTGCAATAGTATTGGTCACTGATCTCAACCTCATCTTTGTCCATCTAAATCATGAGAGACCTTTTCAAGAGCAGAAGGAGCACAACATTAAGAAGATATTCAGTCAAGGATCAATTTACATAGGAATTTTACAACTGCCTGCAGTACAGAAACTTGGAAAAAATCCTGTCATATTTGCAAATCAATAAAAAAGAGTTTCTCCTGGAAACGTACACCTCTAAAACTACAAGGAAAAAGATTTCCATATTATTGTACTGTGATCTGTGGGAGTGCTGAGAGATTTAATTTGCATACTAATGCTGCGAGCAGGTTGGGGGGTGTGGAGGGAGAAGAGTTAGCACCAGTAATGAGCAGAAAGGGAAAGAAGGCAGCTACAGTCCCCATGGACTGTTTTGTTTTCAATAATTTTAGACTGTCTAATAACACCTTTTAATAAGCTGCTCTCAGCTATAAAGCTGCAATCGGCCTTTGTCAGAGAACATAATACTGCCCCAGACAGGAAAACAGTTCTGACATAATGGACAAAAGACCCCATCTAAATAAAAGCTTCTTACAAAAAAAAAAAAAAAAAAGCAAAAAACATTTCCATCAGTGAAAGACATAAATTATGCTGTCTATACAGTATATCTTTTCATTTCTAAAATACTAGATTTTTAAAAGATATCTATTAAAGCAAATACATTCTAAAAAACACATTTTCTGGTTTACTCTACTCCAGTCCTAGTTTACAATTAGACAAACTTGCTTATTTATAGGGTATTTATGCCCTATAAGTGCAATCTAAATTATGACTGATCATGTTAGTTTTCTGTTTATAGTCTATGCTACCCGCTTAGTCTCTAAGTGACTACTATGCAACACCAAGATTAACATTGCAATAGGCTATCTAAATTTAAGACTATTTCCACTCCACTCACTCAATTTAATGACAGTTCTCACTGAAGCTCAAGTCTAGCTATAAAAGCCTAAGATATATATGATAGGTAAAACATGGATGTTCTACTCCATTAAACACAGGATTCCTCAAAACAATGGGTCACCTTCACTGCTGATAAACACAGGTCCAACTCCACTGTTGCCAAAAACAGTCATGCCACCATAAACTGGAACTGAATCCCAACATTTGGGTTTAAAAGTTGGTTTATAAACCATTACTTACTCTAAAAGAATTCAGTATCATCCTTTCAGTAGACGTATTTCTTCATTTTTATAATTCACAGCACTAACAAGATGGAAACAAGATCACTTTTTTCCTAGGAATTCTTCTGATCTTTCCAGTATTATCACCATCCTTTTCTTTCCAGCAACAGACTTACTGTGATGACAGTTATCACATTTTACAGATCAGTTCAGAAACATGCCTAAAACTTAAGTAAGACACATTGTCAAAAAAAACCCCCATCACTAAAACCAGCACAAAATCTGTTTGTCCTGAAGATACACTTATCACCTTAGCAATATCGGTAGAGATCTCTGTTTAATCTCTTTTTAATGCCATTTGCTGGAAAGTTAGCATAAACCATTGTGACATTTGGTTATTGTACTTTGCTCTCATTTAAGGAAAAATAAATTTATCACTTAGAAAAAACAGATCATTTGTGAAGTTTAAGCAGCAAAATGGCAGCTTTCTTCTCTTGATACATTCCTGCCCCACCTTATGGGAAGGGGAATCGACTGTATCTGTGACTGGCAAGCCACACTCTCTCCGAGGGGTGCCAGATAATAATAGCACGTCAACACACTCGCAGCCAAACGCTCCTTTTGCCAATGAGATTTCATAACGCTTCCTCCACTCTGAAGCTCTCCAAAGAAAGGAAGCGTTAACTCCCTGTTAAAACATATAGTCCAAAGGACCCAAAACTGTCTAATGTTTGAACTCTTTTTGCACAGAAATAGAGGGAAATTACTTTTTTTGCATAAAGTTACTTTTTTGCATAATTTTTTTTCCATTTTTTTACAGCTAGAAGCTGTAAGCTGAACAGATATGTCTACACGCAGCTACACTGTGTTAAAGAACTTACGATTTACTGCTTCTAGCTTCAGACAAAGCAACACTCAAGGAAATGTCAAGCTTTTCTCCTCCTTCTGTTCAGAGGAAAACAATACAATTGTTAATAGCTAAGATGACCACAGAAATGTTTTTGGCTTCTATCCATAACCTTTTCTCCAGCTAGTGGTAAAATAAGAAGGGGAACAGGTACGGAAGTCAATTAAGAAATGCCTCTTTTTTTTTTTTTTTTTTTTTTTTTTTGGTTGCCAGTATTAGATCAGTGCCTGAATATATACCAAGGGTAGAGCAGACCTGAAATGCACATTTCTCAAGCTGAAAAAATTCTCAGTGAAATATAGGCTTCCAATCAGCTCAGACAAAATGCTAACAAGTACTGAATTAAAGCATGAAGCTGCCAGTACTTTAAGAACAAGGTCCCTAATATTGATTTTACAAAAAAATAGTTTATCAGGAAGTTAAACACACATCTAGAGTCCCAAGTAGTTTCTCTACACTCAGAGCTCAAAACTCAACAATATGAGATTTTAAATCCTCCTACACCCTGAGATGATTCAGGATTCTCACTTCCCTGTGGAGGCACAGACCCTCCCCTCTTCACAGCACCACCATCTGATAAATAGACTGAGCAACACTTGCACCAATCATGTAATGAGAGCTTTTCTGCCCTTTTTAAACGTGTTTCTACTTGCAAGCTATTTCATGCTATCTCAGCAATACTGGGAATAACGGTAGCACGTAGTTATACATCCTAGAGCTAAAGTAAGAGGTCACAGAAAGGGCTAGGAAATGGCAATGAGAAGCAATTCCCTGTCATTTCAATACACAAGGTTAAATTACTCCAGAAGCCTCCCTACAGGGCTTCCATTGTTTGTCAGTCAAGGCTAGGACACAATGGCACTCATTCATGTGCACAGCAAACAAGCAGCGAAGGGCCAATGATCAGCATAGGTCTCATTTTGGTTCTTATGCAAACAGTTTGTAGAAAGATGGCATTTCAAATAAACTATGTCAATTTTTCAAAGCTTCAATGCACTCCTAGTATAAACTACTTAATAGGGAGTCTAGACTAAAAATTAAGACAACTTGAGAGCAACATGAAGAATCACCCAAAAAAACCACTTGCTCATTAGGGCTGCTCCTGAAAAAGATTTGCTTGCTACAACCACATGCAAAAAGATTACGTTTTAATAGAGAAATACACATTCATAAAAGTTCAAAATAGGTGATTCTTTCCAAAGACAGTGATACCATGCTTTTGTTTTTAGAGTACCACTTAGTGTTCAGCCTCAGAGCTTATGTTACTAAGGGGTACAGACACCAAGGTTCCAAAGTGCACTTAAGGCTGTTTACTTCATATCTTCTGGTTAAGAACCCAAGAGGTTTAGGGTTTGGGTTTTTTTTGTCTTTGTTTTGCTTTTCTTTTTTTCAACATGTTAAAAATAGAAAAACACAGTATGAGAGAAGTCCAATGCTGCTGATAACTGGAGAGAGACAAGCCTCACGCACCTCTTCATTGTTTTGCCTTTTCTACTTCAAAACTTGCTAGAGCAAAGACTTTGTCTCCTGATCCTATGAGAGGAAAAAACATTTTCAGTATTAACAGAAATTGTGAATTTCCTTATATACGATTTAAATCAAGTAAAACATTTGAGACCAAAAGAAATCAAGCCTACATTTTGAAAACTAGAACACTTGAGCTAATTTAAAAAAAAAAAAAAAAAAAAAAAAAAAAGTGATAGCACACCGATGTTTTGGCTCCCAGCAGGTGTTGCCCCCAAAGGCCAGTAGGCTTCGGGTGGGCAAGAGGCTGGGAGGGGACATAGCCAGCACAGCTGACCCAAAGTGACCAGAGGGATATTCCATACCATATGACACCATGCTCAGCACAAAAGCTAGGAGAAAGGAGGAGGTGGGGGATTTGTTATTAAGGCATTTGTCTTCAGAAGGAACTGCTACACGTACTGAGGCCCTACTTCCCAGGAAGTGGCTGGACATTGCCTGCTGATGGGAAGTAGAGAATAAATCTTTTTGTTTTCCTTTGCCTCTGTGCACAGCCTTTGCTTTTCTTTATTAAACCACCTTTATCTCAACCCATGAGTTTTTCATTTTATTTTCTGCCCCTGTCCTGCTGAGGAGGGGGAATGAGAGAGCGGCCTGTTGGGCACCTGGTGGCCAGCCGAGGTCAACCCACCGCACACAGAGAGAGCTTCTAACGAAGCACCCTTTTGAACAAAAGGTTCTCACCTTGCTTACACTCTCGGGAAAAGAAGTACTGAAAGGTAGCTCACAGAATCAGTCGATTTGTACCCTGACCTAGTCTGGCATGTTCCTGCCATTCATAGCTCTTTCATCACAGTTTCAACTGTAATGCTAGAATGAACTGTTGCGCTCATTTAATGCATATTATAGCTGAACTTTTGGTCTTGTCAATATGATTAGAGTTAAGACAATCATGGCAAGAAGAGTGCTTTAAAGCTGTATTTTGACAATGTGCCAATAATTGCCGAATTCTCTGCATCAAGCTGAAGGACAGACTCTCCTGAATAGAGTCGTTAATGCAAAAGAGATCTGCGTTTAACTGTAAGAACAGTATCTCTGCTTGAGGCAGACCATTCAAGCCTTCAGCATTATGGGCAACACTTGGCATTTTATGGACATTTGGCACTGGATTTATTTGTTGTGTTACTTTTTCCTCATGTATAGTGTACCAGAGTTTCATTGTTAATAGAATAACGTACATCAAAATTAATGGCAAGAATCTTTTGTTCATATTTTCTCTTTCATAGGGGAATCACAGGTATTTCTCTTAATCAATGTTCAATGAGGCAAAGAAATTGGATGTTATGAGAACGAAAACTTACCAAGGTCAGTGGAGACTCTCTCAAACTGGCTCAGGGCTGTACCTGCATTTGCTGACAAGAACGTCTCATCATCTGGAGTAAGCTAAATCAAAAAAGGCCGTAACTGTGAGCTTGGTACCTTAACTGTGCATACTCTCACCATTGTAATTCCCACCATATACACGGGCATGTACATGAACTAGGATGGGTTACAGCAATTGTCAATTTGCAGGTTTTTAAGTGGCAGTGTTATCTAACATATTAAAAGCCAAAGTAAAAATGCAAGCTACTCCCCCTACCATTGAATTTTTTCCTCAGTGGCATCTATCAGCCCGGGAAGGACAGCATATGCAACATCAGACATGCCTCTACATGCACTGCTAAGTTTCAAGCTGATCTCCAGTGATAATTTTTGACGAAAAGATCACACTGTACCTCTGTACCAAAACTATGCAAAGGATGTAAATTACTTCTTTGTCATGTGGCCAGCACAGTAATGAGCTAAGATCTAAGCTCACTTCATACCATCTACCGAGGAAAGCAAAAATATGCAGTCACTACCAGCTTTGACCATGTTAAGAGTCAATGACCTAGAAATGGTTCTCTTCCTTTAAAGCGACATTTGCACACGTGCATTTTGCTTTTATGTACGTGCGGTGATGCCTTGTGACAGATGCCCATAAAATATTTACGATAATGAAGTAGTAACCTACATTTGCAAGGTTCAGATATTCTAAGTTAAAACTCACTCATTTAAGTAGCCTCAGATATATATCCTTATTAAAGCAAAGCGTAAGTGTGTCAAACCGTCCACAGTGTTTGTATCAGTTTATTAAAAATATAAAAACCAGGTACAGGCATTCAGAATGATATTGGAATGAGAGAAAAAGTAGTAGCTACCTGCCTTTGCTCTGCTTTGTAAGCAAGCATTAACTACCAAACATTTTGCAGTATTATGCAGATAAACGTGTAATATTTACCATCATTTTTCACATTCAGAACAGATGTGAAACTACTATCCTAGCAAGTCCTCTGTGAAGTAGGTTACTGATCATTTTAAAAGATAAAAGGGCTATGTCAAAGCATGGTGAAATGGCTTGTCTGAAGTGATCCAAGGAACTCACTCCACGAGGATTACGTATCTTCATGCGTTCAGTTCACAATCTTAACTAGCCTTTTAACCTATTTCCAAAACATTTTTTTCTCTGACAGCCAAGCAATAAAAATATTCTGAGGGAAAGCATTTGCTAATATCATCTACTTGGAATGCAGCTTCTTTAAGCACTGCACTTGATCTTTTCCATTACATTCCCTCATCTCCTAAGAAACTTTAAGTACAGAGATACACAGCAACCCATTTTCTTCATACACCATCAACAAAATGAAGTAACAACTTCTCTTCCTCCCTCTAGTGGTAAAAAACAGGGATCGTTCTGCCACTGATTACTCCTTGGGGAAACAATCAGTTTATACTCATCTCTCCAATTTACTTATCTTACAGCAAGAGGTAGGTATTACCCCCAATACAGAAGGGATTAAAGCTCAATGTATGTCAAGAGTCTTGGATAGTTCCTGCCAGGTGGATAGCTGGTAGTTAGCCAGTAAAAGACTTGTTTCGTAGCTTTTATAAATACCATCAACTCATACCAGCTTATACGTGATTCATTCATATGACCCACCAAAGCAAGCATTTTGAAGTGGAGACAGCCTTAGATAAATGTACAATACTATTTGATACATGTTCAGTAGTGAGTGTTTCAGAAAGCTTAGCATTAAGATGGAAGGACATTTATGTACTACAAAACCAAGCTGCATTTTATTATTTGCTCATAAACAAAAGTTGTAATTTCTTATTTTAACGATTTCAAATTCCTCCTCGATATATAGACAGAAATTTCTATTCACCTAACTGTTATACCAACACCTTACCTTCTCACCAAGTTTTCTGAGGGCAGTCAGGATTTCCACTTTCTGCTGTGTGTACAGGTCTCGTCCCAACTTCCCAACGATTAGGTCTCGGTCCATCTGTATGCCAGGGGGGGGAAAATAAGTCAAAATATATAAGCTTCCCATTAGTTTCACTCAACACAACAGCATGAGCAATGAACAGCCTAAAAATGTCAACAGTAAGAATGGTACCCATGGAAGTAAGGGACAGAGCTACCCATAATTTAAAAGATGGCCGTGAAGTTTTTCTGACCATTCTGCAAATACTCTTTGCACCTAACCTTAGCATTCTTGATTTCTCCAAACTTGAATCTCTTTCAATCAGAGACTGCTATTCATTCAAAATTATGGATTCACATATCACTGATACATGGAGGAATCACATTTCATTTCATGTTATCTGGATCTCAAGTTCAGTCTACATCTCTGAAGCACTGAGTGCACTCTCCAGCCCCTCAATACAGATTCATACTCTTCAGATTTTCTATTTACAGTCATACTCAGTTCACTATCTGCTAATCACATTTCCTTTTGAAGCAGGAAGATAGAAGATAATTCAAGAAATACACACTGTTGTCTCCATTACCTCAACGAACATTTAAAACTGAACAAATTCTGAAAGAACTTCTCTTTCTTTTTACGACACTGCCACCAAGTTTTCTAACACACTTGGTGCTCTCCTTGCAATCATCACATATTTAAATCAGTCTAGGTCAAATAAACAGTTTTTACGGTAAAACAGAAACCTTCACCTCTGCCAACCTTGTCCTCAATTGCCTTGGTTGTTTCTTTGCAAACATTCTAATTACTTCCGGAGTTTTAAATGCTTGGCTGATGGCTGCTTGTATTGCCTGCAAGGAAAAGAGCAAGAATGACCAGAACTAATAGTCACAAGCTGTAGCTGCATGACAAGATTAATGAAGGCTGGAAAGCATCATTAGTATCCTCTGAATCACTTGATAAAGAGAGCTTTTCTTTTTTTGCATAATCATGGAAGTGAGATGAAAAAATATGAGACCTTTATGCAGGGCTTGAAAAATCCACTAGTTAGTGCAACTACACCGAGAAAGAGCTGTGAAACTTTTCATTACAGTCCAGGTCTTAATTTCTAATAATTTCCAACATCTTCCTGATACTAGCACATCACAAGTGGATATGCTATGCTATCTTTAGCAGTTTTAATGCCCACACTGACGATTACAGCTCTTCTAAGGGTAAGCAGAATGTAAATGATGAGGTAAATCTCCTACTGTTATTCAAAATCCTCTACATAGTATCAAAACTATTATGATTACATCTCACCACAGTTATGCTTGGACAAATCATGATCCCTCTGGAAACAAACCCCTAAAACATAGGGCTCAGGAGAAAGAAATCATGCTCTAATTAAACATTTGAAAAGAGAGAAAATAGATCAAAAGTTTGGAAGTTGGCATAAAATAAGATCAATTCACTAAAAGAACTTAAAGGTACACGGTCACTCTTACAGCCTTTTCATTTGGATTGGTACGAATCTCTAAAATACAAATGAGCAATAAGAGCACAGGAAATGCTATCTTTACGCTTTCTAACAAATAGGCATGAACTTTATTTCTCACAATATATATTGTCCTGGATTATCCCTCACACCTTTTACATTAATTTGTATTATTTTATGTTATTTTCTAATATTAAGTATCTGATGTATTTAGTCCCTGCAGTTTCCCACAGTTTTTTCTACAGAGTTATGGTTATAATTCTTCAATATTTTTTTTCCTTGTAAAATGAAGAGACCTAACCAAGTTTTTATATGTACACATATATTAAATAATAAAAACATTAGATACATAGAACTAGACATGCGCTTGTCTAAAAATTATAATGAACAACTTGTATCTATTTTCTGTTTCACTGAGTCCAGGCAGAATGTGAACTATTTCTAATAACGCATCATCCTTACCAGTTGCATCCCGCTGAGCTCATCCACCAAAGTCATATCTCCAGACATAATCTTCTTCAGGGAGTCATTGATCTCACTCAGCTGTTCTAGAGTTTCTTTTTTGGTCTCTTCATACTCATCTGCATCTAGCTCCTCTCTAAAGAGGATCCAACAAGACACATTAATTCATAGGACTAAACCCAAGATGTAACATGGAGAAAAAGACATCAGGGAATATCATGAGGTGTGCTTCCTCAGTGAGAAATGAAAACATTCTCCTCAGTTCAGATTATTCTGCTCTAGCCCTCTTAGCTGTTATTTAGCTCACACATATGTAGTTTTCTTGGTTTTGCACCACCTCCTAGCCACCCATGCACTTGTGCTGTTTGTATGAAGTCACTTGTATTAAAAAGGCCCTGGCAGCTACGAGATACCCAACACCTGATACAATATTTAAAAGTGCATTTTGGTTCTCCACAAAAATATGCAGTGAGATTGTCTTGCTCAAAGCTACGGTGAATGAAATTATCTGAGAAGCCCATCTTCTCACCCAAAAACCATCAAGCTATTCAGGAATAACTGATCCTGCTGTCTAAACCTTGCCCAACTCAAAGAACAGCACTACCAACCCTTAGCAGTTATAACTGTTCATGAAAAAAATACATACTGCTTGGACAAGTTAGAGTTATAGTCAGAGAAAGCATCTAAAACCACACAGAATGTTTAAGTGCAAGTACTGAAACAGAAAAATAACCCTGTTCCTTGGTAATTCAATCTACCTCAAATTTTATTAGTCCACAAAAAACTAACACAAAATCACATGAAACAAATCACAGGAAAATGTTAGACAAACTAAAAAAAAAACTAAAACAAACCCAAACATCCTTAATTATAAGACAAAACAAAATAGACACAAAATCTATTTGTTCTACTGCTATTAAAAAAGCCCATATAAAAATTGTGAGTTTTGTGAACAGCTATTAAAAGTTAAAAAGTCACACTGAAATATAAAATTTCAAAGAAAACAGTAATGAGTATTTCAGCCCACATTTTCCTCAAGATGATGATAAATAGAACAACCTTAATAAAAAGAAAGGGTTTTTAAAATAATTTTTACTGCCTGGCACAAACATCCTACCTAATTCAAAAATGTAAAGTTGCAGCAAAACACAAAATAAAAAAAACAAAACAAAAAACCCAAGAATTTTGAAAGGTACCACTTTCTTCCGCCAATCACTTAAGAAAAATATTACCATGTAAGAGGAAAGCGTCTATTTTTATTACCTGCATTCCTCCAGATCTTGAAGTTGCTGCATTAATCTATCCAACTGCTCTTCCAAGTTTTGTTTTAGTTTACTGGTCTCTGTTGTTCCTCTTGAAGCCATGTTCTGTTTTCACATGAAAATTTTAAGTTGTTACATGACACTCCTAGGAGAAAGAACGTTTTATTGCTGTGCATCAACAACGTAAAACTTATTTTAAAATGCTCCAAGTATCAAGAAAATTATGCAGTATCTTGATGATGGAACGTCTAACCAAAACACCTAAAGATCCTTGCAGTGGAAATACAGAAATGTTAGGCTGGCTCTACGGGATTATCTTTGTAGCAAGAGGCAGTTCACCAAGGTAATAACTCAAAACAGCTAGAGCACATAAAAAGAAACAAGTTTGAAACCAAGCAGCAATTACTGAAATACTGAGGTCCCGCTGTACGAAACAGCGGATTCTACCCTTCAACTGCCCCTTGGGAAACCATTTAAGAGACAACAACCCGGATGCAAGGTGTCTGAAGCATGCAAACACCTCAGACAGAATCGTTAGCCGTAGAAAACGAGAGCACTCTAGAGGAAACCCCCTGCTTCTTTGGGTGTCAAACAGGAGCAGGCAGCTAGGCGACGGCAGCGATCAACGGGCCAGCCCTGGGGAACGCACCGCCTCCGCGGCCGTGGACCAGCAAGTGCCGACGGCTGCGCTGACGCCAAGGGCCCCAGAAGCCGGAAGACAGAGAGGGAAATGCGATCCTCCCCGCTGGAAAAGTGCGAGAGCAGAGCGAAGAGGAGGTCCGGGGGAAGAAGAAACGAGAAGGAACTTGGGCACCATACCAGTCCCGCCTATCCCCGAGGCCAGAGCCCCAGCCCAGCTCTCCCGCCTGCCCCCC